ATCACCATCGCAAATACAGATCCGTCACACAACTCACAGCTAACGAAAACACCAGATTCTTTTGACCCGGAACACAACGCGAGGTAAATATAATCAGAATCTTTTGGTGTATTAATGTAATGCCCAAATTTTTAAAATAACATTCTTTTATCACAGACGAGGCATCCCTCCCCTCGTCGAACCCAGAACCCCCATCTCACCAGCACCTTTCGCACATCATCCACCTCTGTACTTTGAGTCACCTTGACTGCTAGTTACGAATGCAAACACACATCACAGCTAAGAGAACTATAGTGACTGCTGTGCTCCCTCGACAACACAAATGCAAAGGTGCACATACTTCCACAAAACCTCACCTGTACACTGGGCAGCCAGCTGATGCAGTGAATCCAGATTCAGGAGTTGCGTTGGGTGCTTGACGTGAGATGACAGGTCTCTGCCACGGGCGAGTCACTCCACCTCAGGGTTGGCATAACAGATCTAAAAGTCTTCTGAAAAACACTGAGCAACAGACAACTTGAGACATACAATGACTCCTGAACTACCTTGACGACACTATTAGATGCCATCACAATCTTCTAAATCTCTTCCGAGCTTTTCACAATCCTCTTCCTATACCACGCTACACAAGTCACTTTTCGTGGCACTTAACGTTCCGTTTTTTCTAATGTAAACACCACTTTTGATATTATACTTTACACTATTCTTGTTATAACACCACAGCCAAAAACGTGCGTCCCTGTGTAGTGAAACGAGGAGCCCTGTCTAGTGTTTAGGGCCACCACACCATCCCACCCGACCAATTATGTTGTGCAGATGCCACACTGTTCCTTTCCTGCTGGGTCTAGCCCTTGCTCTTCTTTTCCTCTCCCCCTATCCCAGTACAGGTACATAATTGGTCCAGGGACCGGACTCCAAAGTTTTGATAGCTGAGCAAGTTACAGAGGCCCTCTAATCTTCACTTATCACAATTCCTCCTCACCTTCTGTGGGTCCTTACCTGCGAGTTAGTTGTCCCGTCCCACAGATACTGTGGACCACCATTACTGGACACTAGTCCTAGTTTACTTGTGTCGCCTGAGTTGCTAGTTTATTGTACACCTGCAGGTCACCCTGTGAGTGGTAGCCCAAAAAAAACAAGATTACAGGTCACAATGGGTCTGTCAGGTCCCACTGGGCATAGTTTAATCCCCCTCCCCGCCCCCAAAAAATTAAATACAATAATTTCATTGTATACATTGTATACAAGGTATACAATGCAATAAGGAGGTAAAGAAATTAATTATTACCGCTAAAACTAACTTACTGTTATTATAATAAGAAGCGCTAAACTTTTCTTGGTCAACAGACACAATTCATTCATCTAGTCGATGTTTTTAGACGTGAAGTCTGAAATTTCCAGATACCTTATCGTTAACAAATTATTATTATTATAATCAAGGGGAAGCGCTAAACCCGGAGGATTATACAGCGCCTGGGGGGGGGGGGTATGTGGAAGGCATTCAGGCTTAATTCCGGGAACTGGAGCACAGATCCAATTCCCTAAATCAAGAGCCCCTCACCAACATCAAGGAACCTTCCGTGAGGGGTTACTTCTCCATAGATATATAGTTTAACAATTGATCATCCCTTTCCTCTTGAAAAAGCAAATGACCTCATAAATGACTGGTCCAAAACATCCAGGCATGAAAGCCTTCCATCTCATATCAGAAAAAATTTAGAGAGTACTTCTGAAGAAATGTTGAAACTGATTAATTTTATGAGCCAAAATATTGATGAGAGTGATTGCCTCTTTACCGAGTATGAATTAGATAATGCATTAACCAAAGGTCGATCAACTGCTCCTGGAGAGGATGGTATAACCTATGATATTCTCAGAACTCTAAGGCACGTGCCTGATAACCCTTTGTTGGCACTGTATAATCTCAGTTACATTGAGGGCGTTCTTCCTACTTCCTGGACCAATAGTCTCATTGTGCCTATCCCTAAGCCCCAACAGCCTGATACATTTAGGCCGATCTTAACTAGTTGTCTTTGCAAAACTTTTGAAAGAATGATGCTTAACAGACTGTACTACAGAATCAGACATCAACTTTCCCCCTACCTCTATGGGTTCATGAAAGGTAAAAGTGTGCAGAACTGTATTTCCACCTTTTTCACTGCACACACCTCTACTTGATCTAAAATCTGCATTTGATATTGCGAACAGAACCGTTATACTACATGAACTAGCCAAAATGAATATTGGTGGTAGCTTACTCTGCTGGATAATAGGATACCTGTCAAATAGAGTATCCTCTGTCCTTTACCAAGGCTTCAGAAATGATTCTAAAGAAATGTCTTTAGGTACACCGCAGGGAGGAGTTCTTAGTCCCATGCTATTTAATATTCTGATTAATGCTCTCCTAAATGCTCTACCTGCCTCACCTAAACATATAGCTATAAGCTATGCTGATGATATCATGATCCATACAACAGGGCATAAGAAGATGAATACCATTCTTAATGAAGTTCAAGCAATTTGTAATCGACTAGGCCTCATAATATCTTCCTCTAAAACAAAGATCTTAACAAGCAAACGACATCCTCCACCCATCTATTTGCAGGGTGAAATCATTAGCTACGTTAAAACTTACAGTTATCTTGGTGTAGATGTACCCTTTAACAAATCCACTATACCACAACTAAACAAGAAATGCAAAGCTAGGCTAAATGCTCTCAAAGCTGTTGCTGGCTACAATCCCAACTATGGTGCTAATGTGAGAATCGTGAGAATGATGTACATAGCCTATGTTAGGTCCTTAATTGATTATGCTGCTCCCATGTTGATATTAGCTAGAGAAAGTTCTCTCCGACCCTTGGAGTTAATGCAAAATGAAGCTCTCAGGATTATTCTTGGCTGTCCCAGATCTACAAAAGTTCTTAACATGAGGAAGGAGCTTGGTATTTCTAGTATCAGTGATAGGATTGTTGAAATTAACACTGTACTCGGTATTAGAATGTTGAGAAACGAACCAGACACTGTCACAATGAATCTTACCAAGTGTCTAGAGGTAAATACACACAGATCTAAATGGATTGTGAAAACGTGCAATTGCATTAAGTTTTATAACCTGCATGAACTGTATCACTGTAGGCAACAAGAGCATTTCACCCCTCCATGGAAGATGTGTTCATTTAGTATCACATACCTACAAGTCCCTCCCAAGAAGCTCATTGCTAGTAATCCCTTCCTTAAATCTCTTGTTAGAGCAACTGCTCAAGAAGAAATTTCTCACCTAGCTGGTAGTAATAAGTTATCACAAGTTATATACACTGATGGATCTAAACAGGAGTCTTCTGGCAGGGCTGCATCTGCTCTTGTTGCCACCTCCCTAGTTAAGAACGATAATAAATTTGTTGAGTTAGGCATAAGAATTAACAACTGGGCGTCTACACTGCAAACTGAATTGTTTGCAATCCTAATGGCGCTAAAGCTAACCTATGACACTGAGCTTGACTCTATCATCATTACTGATTCTATGTCATCATTGAAGGCTCTTGACTCATATAATGACTCCAACAACATGCTCATTGGGGAAGCCAGGTACAGATACTCAAAAATTAGGGACAAAGGAATTAATGTACAATTGCTATGGATCCCATCACACATTGGATTACTCCTTCATGATAAAGTTGATATGTTAGCCAAGAAGAGTACCCAGAGGGAGAATGTATAATATAACTTTGGTATAACTGTGTCTAGCATTAGGAATAATATTAGGAGAGAAGTAAATAATGAAAATGATTGTTATAGGAATGCAGTTAGAAGCCTGAGTAGATCTATAACCCACTATGATAACATGAACGTAGATAAGTATGTTTATGGAGCAACTTGCAATGTGAACAGACTGACTGATGTTGTAGTGGCCAGGCTTAGGCTTGGTTACAAGTACTGACTGGTGTTGTAGTGGCCAGGCTTAGGCTTGGTTACAAGTACTGACTGGTGTTGTAGTGGCCAGGCTTAGGCTTGGTTACAAGTACTGACTGATGTTGTAGTGGCCAGGCTTAGGCTTGGTTACAAGTACTGACTGATGTTGTAGTGGCCAGGCTTAGGCTTGGTAACAAGTACTTCTGGCAGTTTGGGAGACACACAGATGATGATCAAACTAAATGTAAATTATGTGATCAGGCATATGGTCACTCTCTTGAACACTATGTGCTTAATTGTCCACTTATTGAGGAATACAGAGACAGACAGTATAATAACCTATGTGACATGTCAAGATATCTTATTAATGAAAATAAGATACCAGATATACTAAGCAAATTTCCTAAATTTGCTTGTAACAGATAAGTGAACTATAGATATGTAGATATAAATCCATATGTATTCCTGTTAACCCTTTGGGGCCTAGTTCCTAGGCCTTTTGTGTATCCATATACTCTCGCGCTACCGTCCACAGGATGGATATGGGGTGCACAATAAACTAGCCACTTCGGTGGCAAAATCTAATCTCATTTAATGACTTAACTGTGTTGTAGGACAAACTGATACGTCTTAATATTTCAACGCTTTTATGTAGGCTTTATACATAATTTTGACAATTCCAACACCTGCACTATAGTTAAGATTGTACCCTACGACACTTGTAGGAGCGATAATACTGTCGTTACAAACACAAATAACTCTTGTGCCACTAACTACTGCTACTACTTTATACTACTACTACCACAACCAGGCTTACTTCTACCACTACAACTACTACCACCAACCTTGGTCCCGTCCCTGTCCTCCTCACCTTACATACTGACTCCCTCAGTCTTGTGTCAGTGTAACTTTGTAAATGGTCCAAGTCGGACCGTAATGTCGTCGTAAACTCCTCTCTATGTGCGGATTAAGTTACTATACAGAGTGCAGAACATATGTCGCTCAATATTAATGGAGTCACACCTGGCAAAAAATATAAATCCATCACATATATTTAGCCAATAAATATGGTGGAAAATAAAACTCAAATATATGATTCTTTCTTGGATATTAAAAATGATTTAGATATTGCAAATTGAGAAGCTATAATGCACTAAACTACCAAAGACAGATATTGGCAGTCTACGTTTACACTAGATTCTTCGTTATCTCAATAAAACAATACCCATTTTATTTCAGAGCTATAAAAGTGAAGCTAAAATAATGTAGCTTTGCATTCAAGGTGCTATATTAAGTCCTACACTGTTTAATATATTAATAACTTCCTAAAATCGAAATCAGATATTCTGAGTAATGTCAATTACCTATGCTGATGCTTTTTTTACATCTACTTGGGGTCTACCTAAGGGAGGGGGGGGGTTGGGGTCAGCGCCCCCGTGGCCCGGTAGTTGACCAGGCCTCATACAAAGTGGGAGTTGTCATAGATGTTTTTTTCTGACGACAGGTGTTTTTTTGGGGAGATTTTTACTCATCCTCCACTGGAAACTGAACTGCAAACCACTGTAAACCATATACAGACAGCCTGTGATCACCTTTTATAATTTCTGTACAGACAACCAGAGTACTTGATAAATACACTGGCAGCCGTAAAAATGGACCGCTAAAATTCAAGGTCAATGGCAGTAACTAACTAGGTAACACTAACTAGGTAACACTAACAGCTAAGAGCTGTACAAAAATAGGTCAAGACAGATTCCAAGCTTCCAGAATTACTGTCTGGTACAGTCGTAACTATGGTCTAGTTACAATATTCAGAAAGAGCTTATTTCTGATACTCAATATAGTGGGTCCAGTGGCGTCGTAAGGAAGGGGGGAGCCGTCCCGGGTGACACCAAAGATTCTGTCCTGGGTGACACCAAAGATTCCGTCCCGGGCAACACCAAAGATTCCACCCCGGGCGACACCAAAGATTCCGTCCCGGGTGACGCCAAAGATTCCGTCCCGGGCGACACCAAAGATTCCACCCCGGGCGACACCAAAGATTCCATCCTGGGTGACACCAAAGATTCCATCCCGGGCGACACCAAAGATTCCGTCCCAGGCGACACCAAAGATTCCACCCCGGGTGACGCCAAAGATTCCACCCCGGGCGACACCAAAGATTCCGTCCCGGGTGACACCAAAGATTCCGTCCCGGGTGACACCAAAGATTCCGTCCCGGGTGGCACCAAAGATTCCGTCCCGGGTGGCACCAAAGATTCCGTCCCGGGTGACACCAACCCTAGTGACGCCACCGAGTCGGTCAACGCTGTCTTCACTAAGCGAAGGACCAAGTACCTTGTATTGACCAGCGCTTCAATACTACTGCTGATGTTACCTCACACATCAGACATGACGTAGCAGTACACGGTGTTGCAAAACAAATTCTCATATGACTCGTGGATGAGAGACGACAGAGTTTGGTAAAAGGACACAAGTGCAACTAATGTGACATTTTATTGCGGCAACGTTTCGCTGGACAAAGCTCCAGGAGAGTGAAACGTTGCCACTTGTGTCATTTTACCTAACATACTGTCGGTAATTCTACCAACGTAATTACAAAAGAAATCTTCTACGAGGAAAAATCGAAATTGGGAGCATTCACAAGTGGAGTTCAACAGAAGTCAGCGCTGAGGTCCCCGTTGCTTTTAATCCAAAATTTTCTGGCAACATTGAAACAAATCAACACAGTGATTAAGTGATCAAGATCCGAGGACCAAAACGTCGTCAATAAAGGTGTCCTAAGTATACGTATTCATGTTCATTTCCTCAAGGTGTCCTCGAAGGGCCTTCATACTGTCCATATTCTGCGGCTCAAGGAGACGCAGAATGACTTGGATAAACCTAAGTTGAGGCTCACAATAGTGAGTGATGTAAATTCACATGAACAAGTCTTAGTCCTAGCAGAATAATAAACCCTGGTACCTATATGTAATACCGAACTTGACCATACCATACGAAAAGAGCTTAGGAGTTCTGACTAGCAGAACCAGGGAATAAAGACGGTAGAACCTACGTGTTTACAGTAAGACTTATACACTACAGATATTTATATTAAAATATAATAATAAACCAATATACCAAGTTTATAACAACTTTCTACATTATTGGTAAGGCCACATTTAGATTATAAAACTCAACTGGACATTACCATCATTCGAAACAAAGAAAATAGGTGTGAATTCCACATATGAGGAATCGAGATACCTGACCCGATGCTTTTTACCAAGACGTAGAATAAGAAAAGGGATCGAGGTGTATAAATGGAAGACATATTGATAAGGAAAATATGTACTAAATTCTAAATTATCTAGCCAAGAAAGGACTAGAAACAATGACTTCAAGTTGAGTAAGTCCAGATTTAAGAATATAGTAACGTATTGGCATGGCAATGCTTCTATATGAGTAAAAGAAACTAACTATTATTAACGGAAATACCTTGGGTGTTAATACGTTCATTCTCTATGATGTCTAACTCCCAGAGGAGTTGAACTATGTGGTATTATCGGCAAGATCATTAAGGGAATTGCATAAAAATCATATTTCGATCAAGAAAGGTTAGTACATGAGGCACTCTTGCTAAATGCAGTATTCTCTTCAGGAGTAATTTAGTCCCATATTTCCAGAAATCAAGAAATGGTTAAATTTATATTTTTCCTAGGATAAAGAACTGGCTGGTTTCCCATCCTTCCAGCGGCTAGCTGGTAAAACTGGTTCTTCCAGGAAGATAAGGTTGGTGCTCCTTTCTTCCAGGAAGGTAAGATTGGCTGGTGCTCCGTCCTTCCAGGAAGGTACGGGTAGTTGTTCCGTCCTTCCAGGAAGGTAAGGTTAGTTGGTGTTCCATCCTTCCAGGAAGGAAAGGTACCATATCCTTGAAGAAACAAGCTGTTGGTGTCCATCCAAAGGTCAATAAGACTGGGTCTTCCAGGAATCGTAAGTGACCTCCGGAGAGTTGTAGGTGAGGCGGTTGAAGACACCGTACTCCTCATCTTCATCAGTCAGAAGAATGTGACCTCCGTACCTCTGGTTGTGCAGACTGTCGGCAAGAATATAGACAGTTAAAACTGGGGCAGCACATCACAACACCAGGATGTGTACAAGAAGAGCACATCACAACACCAGGATGTGTACAAGAAGAGCACATCACAACACCAGAATGTGTACAAGAACTAAGAGCACTTCACAACACCAAGATGTGCAAAAGGACTAAGAGCACATCACAACACCAAGATGTGCACAACAACTAAGAGCACATCACAACACCAGGATGTGCACAAGAACTAAGAGCACATCAACACCAGGATGTGCAAAAGGACTAAGAGCACATCACAACACCAGGATGTGTACAAGAACTAAGAGCACATCACAACACCAGGATGTGCACAAGAACTAAGAGCACATCACAACACCAGGATGTGCAAAAGGACTAAGAGCACATCACAACACCAAGATGTGTACAACAACTAAGAGCACATCACAACACCAGCATGTGTACAAGAACTTAGAGCACATCACAACACCAGGATGTGCACAAGAACTAAGAGCACATCACAACACCAGGATGTGCACAAGAACTAAGAGCACATCACAACACCAGTACGTGCACAAGAACTAAGAGCACATCACAACACCAGGATGTGTACAAGAACTAAGAGCACATCACAACACCAGGATGTGTACAAGAACTAACGAGCACTTCACAACACCAGGATGTGCACAAGAACTAAGAGCACATCACAACACCAGGATGTGCACAAGAACTAAGAGCACATCACAACACCAGGATGTGTACAAGAACTAAGAGCACATGACAACACCAGGATGTGCACAAGAACTAAGAGCACATCACAACACCAGGATGTGCACAAGAACTAAGAGCACATCACAACACCAGGATGTGTACAAGAACTAAAGAGCACATCACAACACCAGGATGTGTACAAGAACTAAAGAGCACATCACAACACCAGGATGTGCACAAGAACTAAGAGCACATCACAACACCAGGATGTGCACAAGAACTAAGAGCACATCACAACACCGGGATGTGCACAAGAACTAAGAGCACATCACAACACCAGGATGTGCAAAAGGACTAAGAGCACATCACAACACCAAGATGTGCAAAAGGACTAAGAGCACATCACAACACCAGGATGTGCACAAGAACTAAGAGCACATCACAACACCAGGATGTGCACAAGAACTAAGAGCACATCACAACACCAGGATGTGCACAAGAACTAAAGAGCACATCACAACACCAGGATGTGCACAAGAACTAAGAGCACATCACAACACCAGGATGTGTACAAGAACTAAGAGCACATCACAACACCAGGATGTGTACAAGAACTAAGAGCACATCACAACACCAGTACGTGCACAAGAACTAAGAGCACATCACAACACCAGTACGTGCACAAGAACTAAGAGCACATCACAACACCAGTACGTGCACAAGAACTAAGAGCACATCACAACACCAGTACGTGCACAAGAACTAAGAGCACATCACAACACCAGTACGTGCACAAGAACTAAGAGCACATCACAACACCAGGATGTGCACAAGAACTAAGAGCACATCACAACACCAGGATGTGTACAAGAACTAAAGAGCACATCACAACACCAGGATGTGTACAAGAACTAAAGAGCACATCACAACACCAGGATGTGCACAAGAACTAAGAGCACATCACAACACCAGGATGTGCACAAGAACTAAGAGCACATCACAACACCAGTACGTGCACAAGAACTAAGAGCACATCACAACACCAGTACGTGCACAAGAACTAAGAGCACATCACAACACCAGTACGTGCACAAGAACCAAGAGCACATCACAACACCAGGCTGTAGACCACCAAAATTAACAGTTAAAGACTGGCCTATAGATTACGTACTGTAAATACCTAGGTAACACTCTCCCTTGTACGTTAACAGCTGCACACGTTAGGTAAAGACAGAAGTATTGTATGGTACACTCCTGTGTGTGACTTGAAAAAGCCCACTGTGTGGGCGAAACGTTGTCAATAAAGGATCACATTAAACTGCATATGTGTTTATGTTTCCATGGTACACTACTAAGGTGTAAGTATAAGATAAGATAAGATAAGATTTCGTTCGGATTTTTAACCCCGGAGGGTTAGCCACCCAGGATAACCCAAGAAAGTCAGTGCGTCATCGAGGACTGTCTAACTTATTTCCATTGTGGTCCTTAATCTTGTCCCCCAGGATGCCACCCACACCAGTCGACTAACACCCAGGTACCTATTTGCTGCTAGGTGAACAGGACAACAGGTGTAAGGAAACGTGTCGAAATGTTTCCACCCGCCGGGAATTGAACCCGGGCCCTCCGTGTGTGAAGCGGGAGCTTTAGCCACCAGGCCACCGACTAATGTTCAGAATTAGCTTATTTCTGAAACAATATAGTCAGTCCAAGCCTACTAACTCATTTTTAATTATATAAGTGGAGGCGCAAGATTACAATACCAGTGTATATACAGGAGGAACAATAGTCTCAAACATCGATACTACAGCAAGAATAACACAGATGTAGGAGGAATAACATATTAGAACATAATATATGTGGGGAAGAACACGGACATTCATGGCCCGGTGGCCTGGTGGCCTGGTGGCTAAAGCTCCCGCTTCACACACGGAGGGCCCGGGTTCGATTCCCGGCGGGTGGAAACATTTCGACACGTTTCCTTACACCTGTTGTCCTGTTCACCTAGCAGCAAATAGGTACCTGGGTGTTAGTCGACTGGTGTGGGTGGCATCCTGGGGGACAAGATTAAGGACCACAATGGAAATAAGTTAGACAGTCCTCGATGACGCACTGACTTTCTTGGGTTATCCTGGGTGGCTAACCCTCCGGGGTTAAAAATCCGAACGAAATCTTATCTTATCTTATCTTAAGAACAATAGCTAGGAAAATACAGTATAAATATTTGTAAGAAAACTGGTAGATTTCAATTTTATGCTAAATATAAAATAATTTTATACAGTCAGATTCATATTACATTTGCAAATTATAATTATGGGGGAACGCTAAACCCGTAGGGATTATACAGCGCCTGTGGGGGAGGAGGGAATGGAAGGTACTCAGGGTCAATTCAGGGAACTGGAGCAGAGATCCAATCCCCTAGATCAAGAGCCCCTCACCAGCATCAAGGAACCTCCCTTGAGGGATTAGTTACAGAATTTCACGTTAAAACACTAACACTACATACTAGCTAAATACTATTACTGAGACTATGTACTAACTAAATACTATTACTGAGACTATGTACTAAATACTATTACTGAGACTAAGTACTAACTAAATACTATTACTGAGACTATGTACTAACTAAATACTATTACTGAGACTATGTACTAAATACTATTACTGAGACTATGTACTAACTAAATACTATTACTGAGACTAAGTACTAACTAAATACTATTACTGAGACTATGTACTAACTAAATACTATTACTGAGACTATGTACTAAATACTATTACTGAGATTAGCGTCAAGAGATTTACCATGAGTCAACACCTTCCATGGTTCACCACGTCAAGTGTCAGGAGTCTTACCATGAGTTAACACCTTCCATGGTTCACCACGTCAAGTGTCAGGCAGGAGTCTTACCATGAGTTAACACCTTCCATGGTTCACCACGTCAAGTGTCAGGAGTCTTACCATGAGTCAACACCTTCCATGGTTCACCACGTCAAGTGTCAGGAGTCTTACCATGAGTTAACACCTTCCATGGTTCACCACGTCAAGTGTCAGGAGTCTTACCATGAGTTAACACCTTCCATGGTTCACCACGTCAAGTGTCAGGAGTCTTACCATGAGTCAACACCTTCCATGGTTCACAACGTCAAGTGTCAGGAGTCTTACCATGAGTCAACACCTTCCATGGTTCACCACGTCAAGTGTCAGGAGTCTTACCATGAGTCAACACCTTCCATGGTTCACCACGTCAAGTGTCAGGAGTCTTACCATGAGTCAACACCTTCCATGGTTCACCACGTCAAGTGTCAGGAGTCTTACCATGAGTCAACACCTTCCATGGTTCACCACGTCAAGTATCAGGAGTCTTACCATGAGTCAACACCTTCCATGGTTCACCACGTCAAGTATCAGGAGTCTTACCATGAGTCAAGACTTCCATGGTTCACCACGTCAAGTGTCAGGAGTCTTACCATGAGTTAACACTTCCATGGTTCACCACGTCAAGTATCAGGAGTCTTACCATGAGTCAAGACTTCCATGGTTCACCACGTCAAGTGTCAGGAGTCTTACCATGAGTCAAGACTTCCATGGTTCACCACGTCAAGTATCAGGAGTCTTACCATGAGTCAACACCTTCCATGGTTCACCACGTCAAGTGTCAGGAGTCTTACAATGAGTCAACACCTTCCATGGTTCACCACGTCAAGTATCAGGAGTCTTACCATGAGTCAACACCTTCCATGGTTCACCACGTCAAGTATCAGGAGTCTTACCATGAGTCAACACTTCCATGGTTCACCACGTCAAGTGTCAGGAGTCTTACCATGAGTCAACACTTCCATGGTTCATCACGTCAAGTGTCAGGAGTCTTACCATGAGTCAACACTTTCCATGGTTCACCACGTCAAGTGTCAGGAGTCTTACCATGAGTCAACACTTCCATGGTTCACCACGTCAAGTATCAGGAGTCTTACCATGAGTCAACACCTTCCATGGTTCACCACGTCAAGTGTCAGGAGTCTTACCATGAGTCAACACTTCCATGGTTCATCACGTCAAGTATCAGGAGTCTTACCATGAGTCAACACCTTCCATGGTTCACCACGTCAAGTGTCAGGAGTCTTACCATGAGTCAACACTTCCATGGTTCACCACGTCAAGTGTCAGGAGTCTTACCATGAGTCAACACTTCCATGGTTCATCACGTCGTGTCAGGAGTCTTACCATGAGTCAACACTTCCATGGTTCACCACGTCAAGTGTCAGAAGTTTTACCATGAGTCAACACTTCCATGGTTCACCACGTCAAGTGTCAGAAGTCTTACCATGAGTCAACACTTCCATGGTTCACCACGTCAAGTGTCAGAAGTTTTACCATGAGTCAACACTTTCCATGGTTCACCACGTCAAGAACCAACAAAGACTCACTACCTCAATATAAGACACCTCCAGAGTTTTGGCAAACATTGTAACTTCTCCGTGTAACGGGGAAAATATTACCTGATCTTCCTGAACCAGACCCCCAGGACGGTGGCTATGAGAGCCAAGGTGATGACAGTAATGGACACCAGGACTACCTTGGTGTGACTGTTTATTCCTTGTTCTATGTTCAGCTGTACTGATCTGTCGAGTGAACAAGACTTTAGTGGGAGGATACACGTATATCACAGAATCTGAGTATGTTATTTCAGGACCTCTAGGCTCTGGCTTATTCACAAGAGTCGGTGACTATTTTCGCTGGACTCCTTGATAAACTGATGCATCAGCCGGGAATCGAACCCGGGACTCCTGTGTGGCAGGCCAGAATTATACCAGTGAACCATCGATGCTACTACTTAACACCAGCAATAATAAAATAATAATAAATAATTAATACTAAATAATAATAATAAGAATTTTGTCAATAGTATTTTTCACACATTGTAATTTATAATCAACTTCATTTTCCAATATTTATTTTTTTCGAACCTAGATCACCATTATAATTCTCTGTCTAAAGTTTGTCAACTAAAAAAAAAAAAAAAACAATTGATTATTTACTTAGCTTGTTGGTGGTGTTGGTCTGGAAGTTCATGGTTCATGGCCTGGTGGTCGTTATCCATGGTAACAGCAGGTAACACCATTTTTTCTGGGTTGGGCGCTGAGGGCTGGTCGCTGCCCTTTACTCCAGAGATTTTTGTCTCGACTCCAAGTTTTGGAACAGTTTTCAGCTGCGCCTTTTTTCTGGTTTCCTCTGACTTCTGTTGTGTTTTTACAGAAACCTTTTGTTTCGTTCCTTCACTAGGTTCGGGTCTCAAGGTAAAGCCTTTTATTTTCCCGGGGCCTTTTGAGATCACAGGATTGTGGTTAATGTCTTCACTAGGCTTTTGTGACGACTTTTCAATAGTTTTGGGGGTAAGCCTCTTAGTGGGCTTTTGAGAAGCTGTTTCATGAGGCTTTTGTGTTTTCTTAAGATTTTGTTTACCTCTCGTAAATGGCTTTTGTGTTGTCCCGTCAACGGCTTTTGGCGAAATTTTAGTATCAGGCTTTTCTTTTGTTTCGACAGGCTTGTGTGTGTTTGTACTGGGATTTTCTTTAATTTTACCAGTTGGTGCTTGAGGCTCGGCTGGCGCTTGAGGCTCGGCTGGCGCTTGAAGTTCGGCAGGCGCTTGAGGCTCAGCTGGCGCTTGAGGTTCGGCTGGCGTTTGAGGCTCAGCTGGTGCTCGAGGCTCGGCTGGTGCTCGAGGCTCGGCTGGTGCTTGAGGTTCGGCTGGCGCTTGAGGCTCGGCTGGCTCTTGAGGCTCGGCTGGCGCTTGAGGCTCGGCTGGCGCTGGAGGTTCGGCTGGCGCTGGAGGTTCGGCTGGCGCTGGAGGCTCGGCTGGCGCTGGAGGCTCGGCTGGCGCTGGAGGCTCGGCTGGCGCTGGAGGCTCGGCTGGCGCTGGAGGCTCGGCTGGCGCTGGAGGCTCGGCTGGTGCTGGAGGCTCGGCTGGTGCTTGAGGTTCGGCTGGCGCTTGAGGCTCGGCTGGCTCTTGAGGCTCGGCTGGCGCTTGAGGCTCGGCTGGCGCTGGAGGCTCGGCTGGCGCTGGAGGCTCGGCTGGCGCTGGAGGCTCGGCTGGCGCTGGAGGCTCGGCTGGCGCTGGAGGCTCGGCTGGCGCTGGAGGCTCGGCTGGCGCTGGAGGCTCGGCTGGCGCTGGAGGCTCGGCTGGCGCTGGAGGCTCGGCTGGCGCTGGAGGCTCGGCTGGCGCTGGAGGCTCGGCTTGTGCTGGAGGTTCGACTGGTTCTGACGATTCCACAGCGGGTGGCTTTGATTTTGATTCCACAGTGTGGGGCTTTGATTTTGATTCCACAGCAGGGGCCTTGGACTTTGATTCCACAGCAGGGGCCTTGGACTTTGATTCCACAGCAGGGGCCTTGGACTTCGATTCCACAGCAGGGGCCTTGGACTTCGATTCCACAGCAGGGGCCTTGGACTTCGATTCCACAGCAGGGGCCTTGGACTTCGATTCCACAGCAGGGGCCTTGGACTTCGATTCCACAGCAGGGGCCTTGGACTTCGATTCCACAGCAGGGGCCTTGGACTTCGATTCCACAGCAGGGACCTTGGACTTCGATTCCACAGCAGGGACCTTGGACTTCGATTCCACAGTAGGGACCTTGGACTTCGGCAGAGTCTGAGGGACTTGCTGGACGTGAGTCACCTTGGGGATGATCTTCATCTTAGCTAAAGGTGACGTGCCTGCTGGCGGCTGCACTTCACCTTCTGATAGTTTCTTGGGACCGGCGTCCGCTGTCGATCTTTGCCGAAGAGCTGCCAATTTCTGCGTAAGCATCTTCTGCTGTGCTGAAGCTTCTTTTGGCTGGCTGGCGCCATTATCACCTGGGGGAGAATGTAATATTTTTTTTTTAACGGATAAAACAATATACTTATTTGGTATACTTTTATATATTGTTAAAACAATCTCTGGTTTATCAGAATTTTTCATTTCCCATCTCTCTTTCTCCAAGGAAAATATGTACAAAGTTCTTTAATTTAAATTTTTTTAGGCACTCACCTGTATGGTTGCAGGTGTCGGATTTCAGCTCCTGGACCCGGTATATTAATCTATATTATTGTAGTGAACGTAATATACAGGGAGTCCACAACAACACTGATCTCAAACATGTATAACATGTAACTTTACTGTAATAATCTTCCCCAGTTAGCAGCTTCAGATGCAGGATATCATTCAGTTTCATGTGGTATAGGGTAGCATTAAAGGCACTCGATGTGCGTCCCTCTGGTTGTTGGGTAAACATCGATGTGATAGTCCACTTCGGTCCAGACGCTCTGCAGGATATCTGGTGTTATGCCAACTGCTTCAGTGATCGAAATTTTCAGCTCTTCCAGGGTGGTGGTGGTACGTAAACTGTGCTCTTCACGTACCCACAAAGAAAGAAATCACAGACAGGTCCGGTGACCCCTGCAAGTAGCCTGCGAGGTCACCGGGCCTGTGACATCTTTGTGGGCACGTGAAGAGCACAGTTTACGTACCACCACCACCTGCAACCCTCGAAGAGCTGAAAATTTCGATCACTGAAGCAGTTGGCATAACACCAGATATCCTGCAGAGCGTCTGGACCGAAGTGGACTATCACATCGATGTTTACCCAGCAACCAGAGGGACGCACATCGAGTGCCTTTAATGCTACCCTATACCACATGAAACTGAATGATATCCTGCATCTGAAGCTGCTAACTGGGAAAGATTATTACAGTAAAGTTACACGTTATACCTGTTTGAAATCAGTGAATGTTTTTTGTGGCCTCATTGTGTATCTCAAGTTAGGCTACGCTGCTCTAAGTTAGTATGGGTGAAAATAATTTCACAAAAAAACTAGACTACCACTGGTGTTTACAACTAAGTTTTAGTAAGTTTATTTAGGTACAGGTACACTAATAGTTACACAAATTATGATACTTAGTAACACAGTAAATTACTCGCCAGGATAACCCCAAAAGGGTTAAATTAACTTCTGTTGGAAACACAGATAAGTAATTGTAACGATAATATCTGTTTAGTGTTAATCATGAGGATAAGCCAGACTTAGTGACTTTATTGGGTTATCCTGGGTTACTAGTTCTAGGTGTTATTAATTACACTAAAACTTCTTTAGTCTTCACTAGTCTAGATCAGTACTGGAGTCTTCAGTACTGATCTAGACTAGTGAAGACTCCAGTACTGATCTAGACTAGTGGAGTCTTCACTAGTCTAGATCAGTACTGGAGGCTTCACTAGTCTAGATCAGTACTGGAGTCTTCACTAGTCTAGATCAGTACTGGAGTCTTCACTAGTCTAGATCAGTACTGGAGTCTTCACTAGTCTAGATCAGTACTGGAGTCTTCACTAGTCTAGATCAGTACTGGAGTCTTCACTAGTCTAGATCAGTACTGGAGTCTTCACTAGTCTAGATCAGTACTGGAGTCTTCACTAGCCTAGCTCAGTACTGGAGTCTTCACTAGCCTAGATCAGTACTGGAGTCTTCACTAGTCTAGATCAGTACTGGAGTCTTCACTAGCCTAGCTCAGTACTGGAGTCTTCACTAGTCTAGATCAGTACTGGAGCCTTCACTAGTCTAGATCAGTACTGGAGTCTTCACTAGTCTAGATCAGTACTGGAGTCTTCACTAGTCTAGATCAGTACTGGAGTCTTCACTAGCCTAGCTCAGTACTGGAGTCTTCACTAGTCTAGATCAGTACTGGAGCCTTCACTAGTCTAGATCAGTACTGGAGTCTTCACTAGTCTAGATCAGTACTGGAGTCTTCACTAGTCTAGATCAGTACTGGAGTCTTCACTAGTCTAGATCAGTACTGGAGTCTTCACTAGTCTAGATCAGTACTGGAGTCTTCACTAGTCTAGATCAGGACTGGAGACTTCACTAGCCTAGCTCAGTACTGGAGTCTTCACTAGCCTAGCTCAGTACTGGAGTCTTCACTAGCCTAGCTCAGTACTGGAGTCTTCACTAGCCTAGCTCAGTACTGGAGTCTTCACTAGTCTAGATCAGTACTGGAGTCTTCACTAGTCTAGATCAGTACTGGAGTCTTCACTAGTCTAGATCAGTACTGGAGTCTTCACTAGTCTAGATCAGTACTGGAGTCTTCACTAGTCTAGATCAGTACTGGAGTCTTCACTAGTCTAGATCAGTACTGGAGTCTTCACTAGTCTAGATCAGTACTGGAGTCTTCACTAGTCTAGATCAGTACTGGAGTCTTCACTAGTCTAGATCAGTACTGGAGTCTTCACTAGTCTAGATCAGTACTGGAGTCTTCACTAGTCTAGATCAGTACTGGAGCCTTCACTAGTCTAGATCAGTACTGGAGCCTTCACTAGTCTAGATCAGTACTGGAGCCTTCACTAGTCTAGATCAGTACTGGAGTCTTCACTAGACTAGATCAGTACTGGAGTCTTCACTAGTCTAGATCAGTACTGGAGTCTTCACTAGTCTAGATCAGTACTGGAGTCTTCACTAGTCTAGATCAGTACTGGAGTCTTCACTAGTCTAGATCAGTACTGGAGTCTTCACTAGTCTAGATCAGTACTGGAGTCTTCACTAGTCTAGATCAGTACTGGAGTCTTCACTAGTCTAGATCAGTACTGGAGTCTTCACTAGTCTAGATCAGTACTGGAGTCTTCACTAGTCTAGATCAGGACTGGAGTCTTCACTAGTCTAGATCAGGACTGGAGTCTTCACTAGTCTAGATCAGGACTGGAGTCTTCACTAGTCTAGATCAGGACTGGAGTCTTCACTAGTCTAAATCAGGACTGGAGTCTTCACTAGTCTAGATCAGGACTGGAGTCTTCACTAGTCTAGATCAGGACTGGAGTCTTCACTAGTCTAGATCAGGACTGGAGTCTTCACTAGTCTAGATCAGGACTGGAGTCTTCACTAGTCTAGATCAGGACTGGAGTCTTCACTAGTCTAGATCAGGACTGGAGTCTTCACTAGTCTAGATCAGGACTGGAGTCTTCACTAGTCTAGATCAGGACTGGAGTCTTCACTAGTCTAGATCAGGACTGGAGTCTTCACTAGTCTAGATCAGGACTGGAGTCTTCACTAGTCTAGATCAGGACTGGAGTCTTCACTAGTCTAGATCAGGACTGGAGTCTTCACTAGTCTAGATCAGGACTGGAGTCTTCACTAGTCTAGATCAGGACTGGAGTCTTCACTAGTCTAGATCAGGACTGGAGTCTTCACTAGTCTAGATCAGACTGGAGTCTTCACTAGTCTAGATCAGGACTGGAGTCTTCACTAGTCTAGATCAGGACTGGAGTCTTCACTAGTCTAGATCAGGACTGGAGTCTTCACTAGTCTAGATCAGGACTGGAGTCTTCACTAGTCTAGATCAGGACTGGAGTCTTCACTAGTCTAGATCAGGACTGGAGTCTTCACTAGTCTAGATCAGTACTGGAGCCTTCACTAGTCTAGATCAGTACTGGAGCCTTCACTAGTCTAGATCAGTACTGGAGTCTTCACTAGCCTAGCTCAGTACTGGAGCCTTCACTAGTCTAGATCAGTACTGGAGTCTTCACTAGTCTAGATCAGTACTGGAGTCTTCACTAGTCTAGATCAGTACTGGAGCCTTCACTAGTCTAGATCAGTACTGGAGTCTTCACTAGTCTAGATCAGTACTGGAGCCTTCACTAGTCTAGATCAGTACTGGAGTCTTCACTAGTCTAGATCAGTACTGGAGCCTTCACTAGTCTAGATCAGGACTGGAGTCTTCACTAGTCTAGATCAGTACTGGAGCCTTCACTAGTCTAGATCAGTACTGGAGTCTTCACTAGTCTAGATCAGTACTGGAGTCTTCACTAGTCTAGATCAGTACTGGAGCCTTCACTAGTCTAGATCAGTACTGGAGCCTTCACTAGTCTAGATCAGTACTGGAGCCTTCACTAGTCTAGATCAGTACTGGAGTCTTCACTAGTCTAGATCAGTACTGGAGCCTTCACTAGTCTAGATCAGGACTGGAGTCTTCACTAGTCTAGATCAGTACTGGAGTCTTCACTAGTCTAGATCAGTACTGGAGCCTTCACTAGTCTAGATCAGTACTGGAGTCTTCACTAGTCTAGATCAGTACTAGAGACTTCACTAGCCTAGCGTATGGGCCGGACAATTATCGAGGGACAAGAGGCACTTCAGTGGACCTTGGTAAAAATCAGTGTGCTCAGCAGTGGACACTGATCACTCCCAAGTCACACAGTGTGCTCAGCAGTGGACACTGATCACTACGAGTCACACAGTGTACTCGCAGGAAACAAATCTACCAAAGCAAAAGACTGGGCAGGAGATGCAACATTACCCAAGTGTAAAGCAGGGGCGCCAATAAGAGAGAACACAATAAGTGTCCAGGGCCCAAGACTGTTCAACTACCTCCCAGCATACATAAGGGGGGATTACCCATTGATCCCCTAGCTGTCTTCGAGACTCCTGGCTGTCTTCGAGACCCCTGGCTGTCTTCGAGACCCCTGGCTGTCTTCGAGACCCCTGGCTGTCTTCGAGACCCCTGGCTGTCTTCGAGACCCCTGACTGTCTTCGAGAAGGCGCTGAACAGGCACCTCAAGTCAGTACCTGACGAGCCGGGCTGTTTCCTACTTTGGTTTACGTACGGCTAGCAGTAATAGCCTGGTCGATCAGGTCCAGATCCACCACGAGGCCTGATCACGCCCCGGGCCGCGGGGGCGTTAACCCCCGAACCCCCCCTCCGGGAATACCAGCCAACCTGTCTTGCTTCCTACATTTTCCTCACGTTAATTCCATATTATTATTATAATCAAAAAGAAGCGCTAAGCCACAAGGGCTATACAGCGCTGCAGGGTAGGGAAGGAAGCAAGGGAATTG